CCCACGACAGACCGCCCCACCCCCACGCGCGCCCCCCATGCACGCCTGGGCGGGGCACCCAGACCGTGGGAGGAATGGGTGGGCAACAATACGTGGCGACGAGAAAGGGGGGATACCCAAAGAGGAGAAAGCCGCCAGCCGCGCCCCACCGACAGCGAGAGGGTGGAGCCCTCTGACCGCCGAGGGGCCCACGCGGCTAGCAGCCACCTGGGGAAGGAACGCCCCAGGGCGGTCGCCCCTGCCTTTTTTGGGCAGGGGCTGCCCCCACCACTTTGGGCAGGGGCCCCACCCGCCTCCGCCAGTCCTGCGGGTGGTCACCAGAGCCCAGGCTGCACCGCTTCTCCGCGGTGGCAGGCATTCCATGCCTGGCCTGACGGCAGGAGGAGGAGGAGGAGGAGGAGGAGGAGGAGGAGGAGGAGGAGGAGGAGGAGGAGGAGGAGGAGGAGGAGGAGGAGGAGGAGGAGGAGGAGAAGGAGGGTCCTCTGGCCTCCTCGGGCCAGCGCCCCCAGGGGGCGCCCTGGGCCCCCTCTCTGTCGAGGTTCACACCCTCCTCGCTCCCCCCTCCCCGCCAGGCAGCAGAGCCTGCCCAGGAGCAGCGCGGAGCTCCCTGGGACGATGTGGCAGGACTCCGCGGCCTTCACCCTGCTTAATCAGGAATCCGCGCTCTGGCTTGAGTGCTCAGGTTCTGACGGATTGTTGCGCCTCCGAGGTTGCTGCCCCAGTTTTCTTGTGGATTCTGGCAAGTTTCCGTGCAGAGGGGGGTCGTGGAGTGCCCATCTTTGATTGTGCTTACGGAGGCAGCGCGGGCCTTCTCGGTGGAGCAGTCCGCCTGGCTCAAGTAGTTGCTCTGCTGGCCCTCCAGGTCCAGCTGCTTGCCCACGGAGTCGGTCTGCGAGTTGGTCTGCGTCGTTCTGCTTGTTCTTCTCGCGGCTGCGGTTGCCCTCCTCGCAAGCGCCGCGGCCGTGCCACCAGCTCTGTTACTCGTAGATCTCGTCCTGGAGTTGCTTGATGAGCAGCTCCCGCTCTGCCAGCGCCTGGGCCACGTGGCGCGCGCGGGCTTGCCTGCCCTTCCGCGCGTCACGAACGGCCTTCGTCCACATCGTGTGGGTGCCATTCTCCTGGAGGTCGGAGCTTCAGATGCGAGGGTTGTGGCTGTTAGCCTCCGTGAGCTGCATCTCGAGCTCGCCATGCCATCGCCATGCCATTGTCCTCGTAGCCGATGGTGGTCTCCTCGTGCGCTGCGATCGCGGGCGGGAAGAGTGACGGGGGCGGGGTCGGGTGGTCGCCGGTCGCCAGTGGGGCTTCGGCGGGCGTTGTCGGCGGCAGTCTGGTGGAGGAGCCCTCCCCAGACCCCCGGCGTCGTGCCGTTTTTAGGGGGCCACATGCGAACCTTACCCCTACCCCCCACGATTTCTGAGGGGGAGGGTGGGGTTCACTTCATTCGGGAGCTCACGAGCGAAGTGAACCCCACCCTCCCCCTCAGAAATCGTGGGGGGTAGGGGTAGGGTTCGCATGTGGCCCCTCAGTTTTCGCAATGTGGGCCCCCGGAAGTCCCCCTTCCCCCGGGCCGGTTTTGCAGCCTGCATCGTTTTTGGGACCGTCCCGGGGCCTGGCGAGGGCCCCAGGAGGCCGCAGACAGCCAAACGCCCGCCGTCGCGTGTTTCGCGACGCGAGAGGGGGCCTGGGTCTGCCGGTGGGGAGCGGCCCTCGTTCCCTGCCGGCGCCAAAGCGGGGTCTGGCCTTTGGCCCCAGGGCAGGGATGACTCAGGAGGGGAGAACACACACAGACACAATTCATCGTCCATTCCCAGGAAGCTATGGGAAAACATGTGTGACATGGGAAGTGGGGGGGAAGACAAAAACCCAGAAAATATGGAAGAATACGGGGAATCCTGTTATTCGTGCCTATTTTTTCGTGTGTCCCAGGGCCCCTTCAATGACGGCGGGTTCGCGGCGGTGGACAACCCCTGTCTCGCAAGGGCGCCTCTGGTGGACCCACCGGGTACCGTGCAGGCCACCGCGCAGGCGCCGCGCAGCCCACCGTGCAGCCCACTTCGCAGCCTGCGGCACAGCCAGCCGCGCATCCCACCGCGCGCCCACGCTCAGTTGGTTCAGTGCGCACCGTTGTCCGCGCGCATGGGCTCTACACGCACGGGGTTGCGCGCGCGGGATTCGGCACGCATGGGGGTTCACACGCGCACCTTGGGTTCTGCACGCATGGGGTTTCGCACGAATGGGGCTTCTCACTCAAGGGGAGCGGCTCATGCACAGAGGGCTCCACACCCAGAGGGCCCATGACACGGAGCCTCTCCCACAAGCACACGGCTCCACGCACAGGGTTCCACGCACATAGAGTTTCGCATGATTTTCGCACAGGTTTGCTTTCCACACGGACTGGGGTTCGACTCGCATAGGGATCCACACGTATGCGTATGATCCCCCGTACGATCCCCCGCATCCGGTTGATGGTTGTATGCGCCGAGCGCATATGGCCCCGCACACAGGGTCCCCCCACTACCATCAGGTTCGACACACATGGGGGATTTCAACGCTCATAGGGCTGTCTGGGGTCCGTGCGCCGGCTTCCACACATGGGGTTCACACGCTTCTTCCGTCGGCAGCCATGTGTGCAGCAGCATGGCGCTCACAGTGAGCGCAGGCCCGGAGCAGAGCCAGCGAGAAGGAGAGGAGGACCAGGAGCGGCGGCGGCCGGCGAGAGCGGACGACAAACGAGCAGGGACGGGGAAGAGGGGATCACTCACACGCACACGCAGGGCTCCACATCCTCGTTCCCGCACTCGTTGTTCGACGAATCTGCTGTTTGGGCTCCCCGCGCTGTCACTTCTTTTGTGGGGCGGACGTTTTTCGGGCTCTATCTGTGCTTTCTTATCCCTGCACTGTGTTGCACTCTCGTTTGGCTGCAGTCAGTCAGCCAGCTTCCGAGGCGTGGACAGCGGCATCACGTACGAGCAGCGGGTGAAGAACCGCGAAGCAGAAATTCAGTCCTTGGAGGAGGCCCCCACGGCAGAGCAACCGATATGTTTCGGCGTCCAGGAGGATGGGAAGGATGAGGGTGCGTAAAAGGACGGCGGCGTCGACTTTAAAGCATGGTCGTTGCTGTTTTCGATCTTCCTGTCATCAGCGCACGAGAATGGCCCACATGTTTTCGCGCCCGGCCTACGAGAGTGTCTACGCGCGCAGCGTGGCTACGGGGCAGGGATGTGATGATGCTTATGACGATCATGACGAGCATGATGGTGATGGCGACAGCGACGGTGATGCCGACGATGATGATGCTGCTGCTGATGATGATGATGGTGACGATGATGATGTTGGTGATGTTAATGACGATGAGGATGATGATGGTGATGATGACGATGCTGTTGCTGATTATGCTGATGATGCTGATGATGATGATGATGATGACGAGGACGTCGACGACGTCGACGACGTCGATGATGATGACGACGATGATGGTGATGGTGATGGTGGTGGTGATAATGACGACGATGATGACGATGTCTATGATGTTAGTGGTGATGGTGATACTGTTGCCGATGCTGATGGTGCCGATGCCGATGATGATGCTGATGACGATGATGGTGCTGCTGCTGCTGCTGCTGCTGCTGCTGCTGCTGCTGATGATGATGATGATGATGATGATGATGATGATGATGATGATGATGATGATGATGAGCATGAGGACGAGGATGAGGACGGTGACGATGGTGACGATGGTGACGATGGTGATGATGATGCTGATGATAATGATGATGCTGATGATGATGACGATTGTGTTGATGACCGACTCCGTGGGCAAGCAGCTCGACCTGGTGGTGATTATGATGGTGATGATAACGATGACGAGGATGGTGGTGATGATGGTGGTGGTGGTGGTAATGGTGATGACGATGATGACGATGACGTTGTTCATTATGATGGTGATGGTGATGGTGATGATGCTGTTGTCGATGCCAGTGATGCTGCTTCTGCTGCCGATGATGATCATGAGCATGAGGATGACGGTAAGGATGATGATGATGGTGGTGATGGAGGTGGTGGTGATGATTATGATGGTGTTGGTGATGGTGGTTGTGATGACGATGGTGATGATGACGATGATGATGATGATGATGATGATGATGATGATGATGATGATGATGATGATGATGATGATGATGATGATGATGATGATGATGATGATGATGATGATGATGATGATGATGATGATGATGATGATGATGATGATGATGATGATGATGATGATGATGATGATGATGATAATGATGATGGTGGTGGTGATGATGATGATGATGTTAATGTGATGGTGATTGTGATGGTGATGAGGGTCGCAGAGCGATGACCGAAGTTAGAGGAGGAGGACTAGTGTAAACCCAATACGCATCAACGAAGTTGCGATACAGCCTCCCTTCAAGTTCCTCTGTGTAGGTCCCTACAAGAACTTGAGTTCATTGCGGGAAGCTCCCAATGGGAAGACCACTGTCTGAGAATTTCCAATCGTGCCAAACACAATTCTTTGGACTACAACGCCGCGCATCAACTTGACTGGTTCCGTCATGACAATCTTGAAGCGTGCCAGAGTGGGACTTCAACACCGCGAACGAGCGTGACTGTTGCGTCCTGGAAGTCCTAGATCGTGCCAGAGCATTGTTCCTGGGACTTCAGTCGTACACGCCCTTGGAGCGGTTGCAAACTTTTAAGACGAACGTGCACGGCATTAAGGCCAGAGCCACAATGTAAAAAGAACCCGACCTTCATCTTTGAATGTGTTGCACACTTTTACGACGAATGTGCACGGCGCTAAGGCGAGAGCCACATTTTGAAAAGTACCCGCCCTCCATCCTTGAATCTGTTGCACACTGTTTAGGGCGAATGTGCGCCTCGCCAAGGCGAGAGCCACATGTTGAAAAGGCGTAGCCCTCCATCGTTGAAGTTGTTCTCAACTATAGAGACGAATGTTCGCGGGGCTAAGGCGAGAGCTACATTTTGAAAAGTACCCGCCCTGCATCCTTGAATTTGTTGCCTGCTGTTTATTAAGACGAATGTGCCTCTTGCCAAGGCGAGGGCCACATTGTGAACAGGATCCGCCCTCCATCCTTGAAACTGCTGCAAACCTCTATGACGAATGTGCGCGGCGCTGAGGCGAGAGTCACATTTTGAAAAGTACTCACCCTCCACCCTTGAAATTGTGACAAACTGTTTAAGACGAATTTGCGCCTCGCTAAGGCGAGATTCACATGTTGAAAATGAGTAGCCTTCCATCGTTGAAGCTGTTGAGAACTTTTGAGGCGAATCTTCGCGGCGCTGAGGCGAGAGCTACATTTTGAAAAGGACACGCCCTCCATCGTTGAAGCTTTTGCAAGCTGTCTAAGACGAGTGTGCGCGTGCGCGGCGCTAAGGCGAGAGCTACATTTTGAAAATCACCCGCCCTCCATTCGTGAAGCTGTTGCACACTTCAAGCTTCAGGGGCAGAATAAAACTAGGAAGTTGTACTCGAAACGGCCAGCCCGCCTTACCGACACGTTTGGGGGTGCGACAGGAGGCAGTTGTTTAAAAGGAAAAGGATGGAGGACACTGAGAAGCAGGAGGAGGAGGAGAAGGAGGAGGAGAAGGATGAGGAGGAGGAGGAGGATCATGGATCGAAGGTCGCGGACGAGGAGAAGGAGGAGGAGGAGGAGGAGGAGGAGGAGGAGGGGGAGGAGGAGGAGGGTCGAGAGGATCGATCCTCCCCGACCCCACGGAGACTCCCCCCCCCACGGGGCCAGGCCCTGAAGATCCTGACCGGCGTGGAGTGGTCCCCCGACGCGGCGCCCACGGCGTAGGGGCGGCGCCGGGCCGTCGCCGCGGGGGGGGCCCGCGGGCGGCGAGCGTGCGGTCCCGCCTGCGCTGCGGAGACGCGTCCTCCTCGTCGCCGCCCGCCTCCTCCCCCCACCACCTCGTTGTCGTCCTGCTGCCCCTCGTCGTCGTCGTCGTCGTCGTCGTCGCCGTCGTCGCCGTCGTCGTCGTTGTCGTCCTTCCTCTTCTCATTGTCGTCCTCGTCGTCCTCGTCGTCGCCGTCGTCGCCGTCGTCGCCGTCGCCGCCGTCGTCGTCGCCGTCGTCGTCGTCGTCGTCGCCGTCGTCGTCCTCCTCCTTCTCATTGTCGTCCTTTTCGTCCTCGTCGTCCTCGCCGTCCTCGTCGTTATCCGTCGTCCGTCGTCCGTCCGTCGTCGTCATCGTCGCTGTCGCCGTCGTCGTCGTCGTCGTCGTCGTCGTCGTCGTCGTCGTCGTCGTCGTCCTGTCGGTGTCGCTGTCGGCCTCGGAGTTCGCTTCGAATGCGGGCAACCCCCCTGTGAGGCGGCCCCTCCTACTTGTAAAATCGTAAGAGCCTCCGCTGCCGCTTTTCCATCTTCGGATAGCGTGGGAGTGTGCTTGATTCGCCCCGACTGGAGCTGCGCTCGCGGGGGGTTTCCGAGTGCTTGGGCATGGCCAGTCTATGTTTCATGGTCTGCCGGAGTTCTGGATGTACCATTGAAGCCATCAAGTTTTGAACGCAGCACTGGCCCGATCCGACAAAAACGTTTTTAGTGGGAACTCGTATCGGTAGGCCCGTGCTGGCCGACGCCTGCGACAGACAGCAGGTCAATTTCTTCGAACCGCGGTCCTGAGGGCTTCTAGGGTCGCTCGCCTCTCTGCCCGTTCATGCTTCTGGCTCATTCCCATTTTTGTCCTCGGTTTGGTGCAGATTGTGAGTTGTCTGGTTGGGTGAGTCGGTCCTCGTTTCACCTTGGCCGATTTTGCTCTTGAGTCGAGCCGTTCGGATCGTGAACTGCAAAGCAAAAGATGTAAGCTAGGAAGACTTCCCTCAGCGGCCCCATGGGGGGGAGGGGAGGGGAGAGGGGCCTGCTCATGAGAGAGGAGGGGAGGAGTGCTCCGAGTTTCTTAATCAGCGTCGGGGGGCGTCACCCCCGCCGACAGCCCCACATCGACCCCCGTCGCGGGCAGCCACCGACCCCGGTCGCGGCGCGACGACGCGGCAAGGTTGACCCCCGTCGTCTGGGGGGCACCCCTCCGCGCTTCTTAGGAAACTCGGAGTAGGGAAGCTGGCATGCGGCTGGCGGTGGCCGTGAAAGGGAAGGCCGGAGGATGGCGATTGGCCGTGAAATTTAGTCGGGCCTGTCCCTCTACAGGGGGAATGTTCAAAAATAGTAAATAAATCGTCGGGGGACATTTTTTTTGGACCATTTTCGAGCATTTTGGAATATTTTTTGGGCATTTTTATTTTTTCGCCCCAAATCCCCCTGTGGGGGGACAGGCCCGACCGAACCGTAAAAGTGCGCGGCCGCGGCCACGCTCGCCCAGCGGTGGGTCATGGCGCTCAGGGGCCCCTGCCCTGCCCTGGGCACCACAGAGCCGGGTGAGGAAAACACGCACACAGACAGACACAATGCGGCGTCGATCCCCAGGAAAAGGAGGAGGAGGAGGAGGAGGAGGAGGAGGAG